GGTGGCAGGCTTGCGGACCTAAAACAAAAGTTAACCGATCGTCAGAAATGCAACACTGTCCCCAAAATACATAAAATTGACTATCAGGGCAAGGTCGGCTGGGTTTGTAGAAGATGCAAAAGTGCACGTCTAAGAGCAAACACAGAGTCTGCAGAATCATAACTTTTTGTCAGTCTTTTGTGGCTACCACAAGCGCTTTAAATGTCATCGCTCTGAAATTCTGTTGACGATGCCATGCACAGACTGCAAAAATACGAGTTAAATGATTTAAATTTGGATGATTCGTCAATAGCGGAATGGCCCGCCTCTGAGGACAACATAGCGATGTAACATCGATCGACATGATATGTGAGAAAAAGATGTGAGGACGAGAGATTCAGTGAACCATGACTGAAATAGGTACAGTGACTGGCCTATGTCGTGAAAGGTTAAACAAAATTCTGAAATATGTTTTAAGTTAGAATATGTTACTTATTATTATGCGGCAAAATTCCAGGATAGTTCAGCTTCGTAAGGATGTTAGCTTTTGTACGAGATTAACCCCGGTTACGTGTGTTGAAAAAAGGAATACGGAGGTATCATTAAGTTTTCCATGGATTTTCAGTGCTCTTACAAATTTAAATATTTTTTTATAGAAAACATTGTACTTATCTGGTAACAGATTACTTTTTTTATTATTTTATACTTGAAGAAAGGTTTTGAAAAAAATGCATCTCTGATTAAGTGTAAACGAGACCTGCAGCAGCTCTTGCGCTGAGGATTTGTAAAATGCATGTTGTATACTTTTGTGTAAACAAATCAGATATCTTTCCGTTATTCAGAAAACGATAGACGGGACTCGTACAATGTTGTATGATTCACAAAGAGCTTTAATAAGCAGACACATACGATGTTGTGCGAATGAAAATTTTCTCGGTCTGAAAAAAATTCCTAATTACAAACATAGACTAAAAGATCGTATTCTCTCAAGCAGGAAATTGAAAGATGATGCAACTGACTATCCAATGAGCACAAGAAAGAATGTTTGCTAAGGATGACTTATATGGTGGCCCCCTAAACAGGACACGGGAATAACAACATCCCGCCCAAAGCAGTCTCTGTTCGTAATTTCAGGAAGAGGAAATATTCCCGTGTTCTAACCCTAACCTTAGTTTTGAAAAAGCCTAAACCATGACCCTAATCATAACCCGAAATCTACCCTAAGCCCTACAGTTAGCACTAACTCCAACCGTAACTGTTAAAAGGACATCAAGGACATCAATAATTAAGTGAAAAAATGCATAATAGCTAAGTAACTATAGTTACCGAGTATTGTTTTCAAATATAAGTGGGACGGAGCTCATTCAAAAGCCAGCATTCTTGCATGACTAAAATGTCTAGAGACTATGTTGCACGATGTTTGTTTGTTCGACCATCGAGTTCGATGTTGCACGATAATCAATGTTATAACCCTACTTAAGTCATGTACCCTAGTCAGAAACACATTGCAGAATTTTCGTGAACACTTGATGAGATTAGCCAGATACTGTATGAATGAAAGTACGAAGCTTGCTGCAAAAATAAGTCATCGATGGGCGGGACTCACCTCTTCTTCTTCGGCTTCGTGGTCATCCTCCGATGCATCTTCATCCTCCTTCTCGGCGTCACCAGCCTCCTTTGATGCTGGTTTCTCTTCCTCGTTCTCTTCGCTTGCAGATCCTTCGGCGTCCTCCTCCTCCTCCTCCTCAGCAGCAGCAGCGCC